AAAACACCACTTAGAACAGAAGAGGGATCACCTGCTCATTCTGCTAAAAGCATTCAGCTCGGTTTGTCTGTGGTGACATGGGCCAACTGTGCAGAATGTTGGTTACATCTTATTCCAAGTAAAATTCAATAAATGATTATTTTGTGTTTGAGGCTTACTTAACCCTACCAGACCGCTGTACCGATTTTTCGGTAATTTCCACACAAAGGTGGAATATTGGCGCTAGATGAAAGGTAGACCTATTTTCTACAATGTCTCCAAGTTCCATCTTATTCTAACCACTTGTTTGCATGTAACTAACATTTTTCTATATCATGTTGGTTTTTTCTCTTTAATGCTCAGGAGCCCAGGTACAGGGGACAGTTAGGTTCAGGGCCTCAGGTCTGGTAGACCTAATTAAACTTTCTCGTATAGTTTGAGTCTTGGCTCTGAATCCTTTCTTAGCCAGAACGCAAGGAAGGAGGTTGTTGAACCAAGATCTGGTCTGACTCCACCAGTGTAACACCCGGTGCCCTTCTCACCGCTGCCAACAATTCTAGCTGGCCAGAGTGGCTCAGTGGTTGGGCATCGACCTATGAAGCTGGAGGTCATGGTTCGATTCCTGGACAGGGTATATGCCCAGATTGTGGTCTCAATCCCTGGTAGGGAGCATGCAGGAGGCAGCTGATCCATGATTCTCTGTCATTCTCAACATTGATGTTTCTCTCTCTCCTTTCCTCTCTGAAATCAATAAAAATATATATTTTAAAAAGTAATAAAACATTAGTTGAAAGATATCTCTTCCCACCCAGGAGTATGATTTAAAAAAAAAAAGATCCTGGGAGGCAGAAATCACAGGATGGTAGCTCCGAAAGAGGCCTTAAAATTATATCTTGAGTCCAATCATCTCATTTTACCGCTGAGACCGGGCCTTGGAAGAGATTAAGCAGTAGCTCCCCGTTCCCTCCCCAAAGGGTACAAGCCGGCTCTTCAGACTTGTGTTCATTTACCAAATAAATGACATTCCCAAGGATCTAAACTAAAAGGGAAAAAACCCAGCCCGTGCCCGCCAACCTAACCCTTAGCCTCCTACACCTGGTCCCGGGGCAATGCCCCCACAAAGGAAATTCACCGCGGTCATCGCGC